TTAAAAATGATTTATTGCATTATTTATTATTTATTCAAATATTTATTTCTAATTTATACACAAATATTCATATATTATATATTTATATTATATTATTTACATATTATGATATATTTAACATTCATATATATCTATATAAAATATATTCTAATAAATTATCATAATTTAATTTAAAAAAAAAAATGTTATTATTCACAAGTCGTAGAAAATTCTATATACACGACCACTCAATTTGGATTTTTCATTCTATAACATAATTGAATTATTATACTTTCAAAACTATTTCGTTTTCGAATCTTCGTTTTCATATTTAGTCATTCACTATGATAATTTACAACAAAAACATTCAATTCTGATATAATAATAATTATATAAATACATAATAATTAAATAAGATTTAATAATCTATAATTAACTGTAATATAATATCCTATTAATAAAAATTTTATGTAATTACGCACTTTTCTAAAATGCTATTGTCACCATTTTCAATGTAGACTAATAATGCGCACTATATTGCGCACTGATTCGTCTCACCATTAATTCTTAGGGATTTTCTAATTGGCTAAAGCAATGAAAATTTTTTATTCACTTCAATTATATGATATTGAAATAATTATATTTTAAATATATACATATAAATTTCTATACATCGAATCTTACAAAAATAATCTGAAGATATAATTTAAGAATATTAAGAATATAATAAGAATTTATTTATATTAAAAATATAATAAGAATTTATTATAATAAGAATAGATTATTATAATTAATTTAATATAAAAATTATCTAAATTAAAAACTTAAAATTAAATATTTAAAATAAAAATTGATCAAATTTGAAAAGAATATGACAAAACAAAAATATATATAAATTATATTTAAATTTATATTAAATTAAAGAAATATAATGAAAGAATTTAAAATAAATTGAATTAAAATGAATTTGAAAAATAAATAAAAGAATTTATATAAAAATTATATAGAATATAATAAATTTATATAATAAATTACAATAAATATAATAGATTATAATAAGTGAATTTTTTATATTGTTCACAATTTGTTCAAATATCAAGAATGGATTATATTAAAAAATCATTCACATCATTAAATAAACACATCACAATAAAAAATAGAAAGATAAATATTGTCTATTATTGTCTAACATCATCTAATGATGATTTTAAAATATTTAAGATTATAAATATTAATATTAAAACCTAAACTAAAATTTAAAATAATACAATCTACTAGCAGAATGTATATCAAAGTATACTTATCTTATTCAAAACGAATAATAAAATTGAAATCTTTGATTACTGAATCAAACGGTGGTTGGCAATATCATAATGATCATTATTTTAATAAATTATTTTTATTCTAATATAAATTCGAACAAATAATTATTACAATTATATTATGATTATAACAAATTTGAATAAATAATTGTTGAATTTATATTATGATTATATCATTATATTTCGGACTCATTATGAGAAGACAAATAGACGCATGGAATATATCTATATGTGTAATTGATTTATTGTGTTTTAATCATCGCATGTGAATAATTTCATTTAGGACAAATTATGAATAAGTCATAAGTTGTTTATATGAATGGCGTCCTAGTAAATAAAATATTAAAGTATTAAGTTTTCATATTTTAATAATTTTAATAATTTAATATAACTTTTAAATCAGTATATTCCTAAACTTAAAATTAATTATTTTTGGATTTTATTCAAAATTAAAAACTACTAGAAAATATAAAAAAAAATTAACAATTTTTGCTTCAAAGTAAAATTTAATCATAATTTATATATTCATAATTAATAAGCAAATAATTTAGTATTTTTATTTATATTCATAAAAAAATAAATTTATGGATTTTCTAAGATAAATAAAGATTTATGAAATGTTATAGAATTTTTTAAGTTCTTCTCTATGGATTTTCAAAAATTTAAGATGGCAACAATGCGTCTCTTCTTTTATTTTAAATCCTGTATGTTTAAAGTTTTTAGTACTTCATAAATCGAAAAAGTGATATTATTAAAACATTATTTTAAGATAAAGATATAATATTATTTTAAAACTTTTACGACATGACAGGCACATTAATCTCTAATATATATAAAACATTTCCGTATGATATAATTTTATAAATCTAATCAAAATAATAATATATATATTTTTAAAATAGGTTATATCATTTTACAGACGATTTGCATTATTTAGTCAAACTTTTTCATCAATTTTTACATCACCCACAATAATAAATCCATGGAATCTAACTATAAACAGAACTATAATGAGATATCATTTTCCACGTCCTAATGAACGTCGTCGTATTAAACGCCATGGTTGGATTACAAGAATGTCAACTCTCAGTGGACGAAAAATTCTCATGAGAAGAATATTGAAAGGCAAATATGTACTTAGTCATTAGATATCGTAGATTATATAGATAGATATATATACATTATGTATATGTATACTTATATTAAAATAAAAAATCAAAAGTCAATAAATATTATTTTATTTAATAAAGAAATAAATTATATTCAAATCATTATCATATTTATAAAGCTAAATGTGATTTATAATCCTGTTTTTGTATTATATGTAAATTAAATTCAAGTTGTTTACATGTCCATTCAAAATATGGCATTAAAGGAGCTTCAATTTCTAATGTTTTTCCAAAAAAGTTTGGTAAAACTATTGATCTTAGATGAATATGAGTAGGAATAATATTCTGATTATTACGTTTAATACATAATAATTTAAGAAGCTTATCATCCAATTTTAGCATAGGAGAAGTAAGAAATGGATTGATTCTTAAATAAGTATTTCCAACTTTTTGAATCTGAGATGCATAAATATTATCTCCTAAAACTGGACAATATAAAAATGTTGATGCAAATAACCTAATTGCATGTTTATAATGGGTAGATGATTTTAGTTGAATTAAAGAGCATAAATCAAGTATAGAATTGGATAATATTTTGTGTTCTGTTTTTAATATTTTTATCTTCTTTAATTTTTCTTCATTTTTAGACCATGATGTGGTAATAATTTGCTGAAAATTTGAATATATATAATATATATAATGTTCAATATATATAATTTATTTTTAAAAAATTTAATATATTTAATAAACTTAATAAATTTACTTTTTTTTTATTTTCAAAGTGAGGATTTGAAATTAATTTTATTGCTACACGGGAATAATTATTTGATTGTTTTGGTATACCAAATGTAACTATCCAATAAGTATTTATGAAATATTCACCACGAATAAATGCAAGTTTTATAGCATGTTCAACATTTGGATTTGCTGCTAAAAGTGTAATACCACTCATGTACCTAATTAAAAAATTAATTTTTAAATAAAAATTATAAATATTAACAATTATTTTATACTTACATTTCAGGACTTCTGATTATGCTTAAATTTGGATAATTTAATTCTTTAGCAATATAAGGTAAAGCATCCTCTAATGTATAATTAACACCATTAGGTACATTATTTTTTGAGTTTTTAAATGAATTTAATTTACTACGTTTTATTCCATATGGTTTATTTAATATTATTAGTCCATCTATAAAATGAAAACTAAAAATTGAAATATATAAACATTGAATATTATTATATATTATTATCTTTATCATAAACTATTATTGTATAATATCAATATAATATAATATCAATAAAAACATATAGTTGAATGTTATTACCTTTATTATAAATTAAATTATTTATAAGATCATTTGAAAATTCTAGTAATGATTTCCAAGGATGAATATTTTTATAAGGATGATTTTTTATATAATTTTTCTTTAATATTTTTATATAAGATATATTTGTGCATACATATTTAAATGCATAAAATTTGTTTACTAAAGTCCACATTTTAAATATATAAATTCAAATACAATCTTTTTTTCGATTTTATCTAAAAATATGGATTTAATGTAAAAATTTTAATTAATTAAATTTTAATAATAATAATATTTAATATATTTTTTAATAATAAAATAATAATATATAATAAAATAATAATATATTTTTTAAAAAATATTAAAATTCAAATTACATTTAAAAAAAGAGGTTACCTTATAACATATATAATATGTAACATTGAAAATATAAAGATGGATTCATAATATTTCATTATATTTTTAATAAAATAGTGAATAATGAATAATTTAAATCTATAATTTTAATTAATGTTATTAGAGAAATTCTAAATAAATTATTTGTTTTATTTAAATTATGAATAATATATCAAAATAATTTGAGATATATATATTGCAAATGATTCATATATTTTTCTGAAATCACTATGTATACAATGTTTATAGAAACATTGCTTAAGACAGTTAGACAGCAAAATAAGTAAAGATGGCAACCACCGTGGATTCGGTTAGGGAAAAAGCCCTTCAAGATTATAGAAAAAAGCTTATAGAACATAAAGAAGTAGAATCACGTTTAAAAGAAAGTAAGTTATATTTATAAAATATTTTATATTTTCCTAATAGATTGTTATAAAAAAAAAATTGAAATACTTAACCTCAATATTATACACATTGATAATTGTTATTATAAAGATCTTTTTAATAAAAAAATTTTGATAAATTTTTATATCTTTCTAGTGAGAGAACATCTTAAAGACTTAACGAAACAATATGATAAATCTGAAAGTGATTTAAAAGCTTTACAAAGTGTTGGACAGGTACGTTATAAATTTTTTCTACTTCTTTTATAGAATGTATCTAACAAAAACGTATAATATTTGCTCTTTAGATTGTTGGAGAAGTATTAAAGCAACTTACTGAAGAAAAATGTAAGTCTTTTTAATTAAAATTATGTGTTCGTATATGATACACGCGCGCGCACACGCACGCGCATAATTACATGTATATATTATACATACATGTATATATTAATATATATAATTCTTTATAGTTATAGTAAAAGCAACAAATGGTCCACGTTATGTTGTTGGATGTCGACGTCAACTTGACAAAAATAAATTGAAATCTGGGACAAGAGTAGCTCTTGATATGACTACTCTTACTATAATGCGTTATTTACCTCGTGAGGTAAACTTTATATTTTATTATAAATTAATATTAAAATTAATATAATTATAATAATATATAATAATTAATATAATAAAAAATCTTAAATATTTAGGTTGATCCATTGGTTTATAACATGTCACATGAAGATCCTGGTGATGTTACATATAGTGCAATTGGTGGTCTAAGTGAACAAATACGAGAGTTAAGAGAAGTTATAGAATTACCATTATTAAATCCTGAATTATTTCAAAGAGTTGGTATAACTCCTCCTAAAGGATGTCTCTTATATGGACCACCAGGAACTGGAAAAACATTATTAGCCAGAGCAGTTGCTAGTCAATTAGATGCAAATTTTTTAAAAGTTGTATCAAGTGCTATTGTTGATAAATATATTGGTGAATCAGCAAGATTGATTAGAGAAATGTTTAATTATGCACGAGATCATCAACCGTGTATCATATTTATGGATGAAATTGATGCAATTGGTATAAATATTTATAAAAAATAAAAAAAAAACAGAAAATATAAAAATATACTTTTTAATTATATTTTTTTTTATACTTTTTTATACAGGTGGGCGTAGATTTTCGGAAGGTACAAGTGCTGATCGCGAAATTCAAAGAACTTTAATGGAATTATTAAATCAAATGGATGGTTTTGATTCTTTAGGCCAAGTTAAAATGATAATGGCTACAAATAGACCAGATACTTTGGATCCAGCTTTATTAAGGCCAGGTAGATTAGATAGAAAAATTGAAATCCCATTACCTAATGAACAAGCACGTCTAGAAATTTTAAAAATTCATGCTGGTCCTATATCTAAGCATGGAGAAATTGGTAAAATTTTTTATTTTTATTTGTCTAATTTTTTCATTTCAAATACAGTTATATAATAATTTTATAATTTAATTCAGATTATGAAGCAGTAGTTAAACTTTCGGATGGATTTAATGGTGCTGATTTAAGAAATGTTTGCACTGAAGCAGGATTATTTGCAATAAGATTAGAAAGAGAATATGTAATACAGGAAGATTTTATGAAGGCAGTAAGGAAAGTTTCGGATAATAAGAAACTTGAATCTAAATTAGATTACAAACCCGTTTAAAATTAACATATATCAATTATATATAAACTTATATTTAAAATTTAATTCATTTATTAAACAATAATATGAGAATTAATAAACCGACTTATTTTATTGTAATACTATTTGTATTTTACAAAGAAAATATAAAATTCCTATTAAATATATATTTAAAATAATGTTGTTTTCAACAATCATATTTTATTTTCAATATAAAAATTACAATTTTTATAATCTTATGTTATTGATTATATTTTAATTATCTATTTGCAACACGCTTTTTTTTTCTTTGTAAATATTCTTGGATATTATCGTATTTTCTTTTATATAAAATTGAAAATAAATTTTGTTGAATATTATCCTTTTTTAGTACTTTCCAATAATTATTTAATTGATTTAATTTGTAATTTGTTCCATCACAGAGTATAAAACTGTTATCTTTAAATTTATATATTTTAAATCCAACTTCATCTAATATCCATAAATTATTTTCATAAAAATAAAATTCTATTGGTTCATTATCTGTAATTATTGATTGTATATATAATACTTCAATATTTGATTTTGATGTATTATTAATTATATATACTAGTAATAATGAATTATTATAAAAACTCATTATAGCTAAAGATGAAGTTGTATCAAATGCTGAAAGTTTTAAATGTTTAACAGGTAAAACTTCAACAGATTCTTCTAAATTGCAATTATGAAGTTGTTCATTGAACTTTTCAATATCTCTTTTAGATATTTTATTATGAAAATTAACACATAATAATTCTTTTCCAATCTTGTAATCCCATAATATAAACATTCCATCTCCTCCACAAGATACTAAAATACTTTTATCATGAGGTAATTCTAAAATGTTTGTTACAAATTTTGTATGTCCTAAACAGTAAGATACAATATTATATGAATTTGGAAACATAGATACTCTTATTTTTTCATCTCTATCTGTTGTAATAATATATTTTTCATCTTCTGTAATTAATATATCAAGTAACATTGACAAATGTCCTAAGAGTAAAACTTCATTATCAGACTGTTTATTAGAAAAAAGATAAGCATCTCCTGTTTTATCTGCAACAACTATATTATTATTTGGAGTAAATTGCACTTTGCTAGCAGCTCTGGGAAGTATTTTATTTAATAAAAGATTCTGACTTTTTCTTTCATATAAACACAATTGTTTACGATTTGTACAAACAAAAAAATATTTGCCATCATTTGAAAACATTATATTAGTGATCATGTGAAAAGCTTCAATATTTATATTATTATGCACATCAATTTTTTTATCATTTATCAATTTAGGTAAAGAAATTTTTGTTTCCATATCGTTCTTAATATTATATATTATAATTTGTTCATTATTACATATTATAACATCTGATTCGTGTATACAAAAGCTCATGATTACAAAATTTTTGTAAAAAATATGCAAATAATTTTAATTATATTTTGTATGATTAATCAAATAGTTTATATATACTCAAAAACTATTATATTATTATTATATTATATAAGATTTCAGTTAAAACGAATTCACTTTTTATATGTATTAATTATTAATATTTCTAAAAATCATTAACTTTAATTTTATGCAAAAAATTCCATATATACAATATGATATAGTAATAGTATGTTGTAATATAAATTAATACTACCAACTTATAAGAAAAAATTATAAGTGAATAAAAATTTTAGAAAATCAAATAGTTTCAAAATAATATTTTTTAAACTTATACTATTTTTTTTTATTTCTCATATTGTAAATTAAAATAGAATTCATTAAATCAATATTTTTAAAAATTAATGTTAATATAAATATATATATATCAATTATGTATAAGTAATATTTTTGTATATACTTACGTACATATACTGACTTTCTAATCCTATCTAATATCTCATAGTATATGATTGTATTCTATGCAGTGGATTAATAATTCTTTGTCTTAAAAGAAAAATATAAACAAGATGTTAATTAAATCTATGAATATTATATTTTTTAAATATTTTTTGTGTAATAAATTGCAATAAATATTTATCATGTACAATAGTTACTAATAGTTATTAAAATGTATAAAAGTTATATGAAATAATAATGTGTTATTAATATAAAAGGTAAAAAGATTCTATAAACATTTCATTTTAATTCATATAATTATTAATTAAAGTTTTAATTTAATAATTAATTTCTGTATTATTAAAATTAAAAACTATTAATACAGATTATAGATTAAAAATCTGACATTTGTAAATTTTTTTATTGATAAAAATCAAATAAAATCACGTATTTCGATATGTGGAAGCCGTTTGAGGCTGGTAGTTCACCAATTGATTGGTGTGAACGCAATTATAATATTTCTTCTAGTATTGCAGAATTTATGAATACGGTTTGTATTTTTATAATTTAAAATATTTTAAAAACAAAATTTTTTATTGATAAAAATTTTTAATAAAAATTAATAATAATTTTATGATATTTTTATTTATAGCTGAGTAATGTAGTATTTTTATTACTTCCTCCTGTTCTTATGCATCTCTTTAGAGACTATGGTCGATTTATAAATCCTGGCATTCATATAATTTGGTTTTTACTAATGATAGTAGGTCTTAGTAGTGCATATTTTCATGCTACTTTATCTCTTATAGGTAAGTAAT